AATCAGCCAAGGGAAGTGTGAATTAAATGAGCTAGCAGCAAACATCTGACCCCCAAATGGCGTTGGCTAAGGGACAGACTCTGTCCCAAGGACCTCAAAAGCATGCTACAGCAAGAAAGCTGTTGCCTCCCCAAACTGGAGCTCTGGCGTGCAGGAGCCTCTGGGGCTCCCAGCTCAGCACAAGCTTTCCAGCTCTGCTGTGGCTCAGCGCTGGAGAGAGTTAACCCCAGCGTGTAAAAGCTGTACACACACACGCACACTCGCTCCCACTGTTTTCCTTCGTGTGTCGTCATGTAAGCCTGTCTGGGCAACTCAGAAGGCCTTGACACAAAGCCAAGCGCTCTGTGCTGGGGCGACTCAGCCTGGGGTCTCTGTCCTGGATCAGGGGAGTGTCAGATGCCGGTTCCAGCTCCTGATGCTGCAGGTCCCGCAGCGGGTACCCTGCCCACGCAGCGGCAGACCAGCTCAGCGCTCTGCTCCTGCATCTGGGGGAAGAGTCACATTTCCACCGGAGATGCTCTCAGGTGTAAGGAGAAGACCAAAACCCTCACAAACCCATCCCAGGGCTCTGTCCTCCATCATCTGCAGATTATTTTCCCAGCTGGTGAACTGCTGTCCACGCGCAAGTCCCTGCAAAGCTGTGAGCGCGGCCCAGAAATGTGCGGGTGACATGAAGTGGCATCAGCTAGGACGTGCCGCATACGGCTCCAGGGTGACACTCAGCTGCAAGGTGAAAGGAAGATGTTCCCCAGCCCCTCGCTCTCGTATTGCTGCCCCCTTACCACACCGGCATCAAACCCAGCCTCTGCTAAGGCTGCGGTAGGACTTAAGTCAATTCACCCCAGTGAGTTTGTGGCCTGAGCTCCGCGGACGTGAGGAGCTGGCAAATCAGCATCATGAAGTTGGTGGCAAGTGCCGGTTCCTGCCCAGGTCCGGCTGGCTGGGCCCGGCAAGAGGGTTGCAGCTCCTCGGGGCAGCCGGGCTGAGTGCCGGGGCAGGGAGGGCAGGCAGTAAATCATGCTTTGCTGCGCTCAACTGATGGGTGACAGACAGCTGTCAACTCCAAGCCAAATCAACCCAAAAAAACCCTAAAAAGCAAATATTTCTAGTGGGGGTTAACGACTCTTTGAGGCAATTAGCAAGTGTGCCAAAGCTGGAGAGCATCCCCAGCCTGCGCTTTGCTACCCTGCCAAGGTAAACACTGACATGTTCCTCCCTGAAGCAGCTTTGGGAGCGAGAACAATCCCAGGCAGTAACAAGATTCCTCGCAGGCACACGAGACAGATGCTCGCTGTTTGCCTTTAAAGGCAAAATTTGGTGAATGCCCGGGAAGGGCCAGTCCCACCTCGGGTGGATCGTGGAGCGGCAGCAGGATCGGCTCAGGGCAGAAAAGCCGCATCCCAGGATTTAGCTCCTCAGCTTTCACGCTGGGGGTTTGCTCTTCGGAGGAGACTGTAGCACAGGCCTGTGGGAATTAAAAAGCCCATCTCGCGGCGGTAGCACCAAGCCCCTCTCCAAATAAGTACTTTTCCGTGCGCCATGCAGGGACGGCTCAGCACGGCGCAGGCGTTGCTTTCACACGCACGACCGCCCCGCTGCCAACATCCGCTCGGTGCCGGGCAACGTGCACCAAAACGCGGGCAGCTTCTCCTTAAATCTGGCCTGGGGTCTCTGAGAAGAGGCTAGGCGGAGAACTACAGATTTCAGTTCTACTCCTGCCTCTATTTCGTTCCCTTTTCCCCTTAAAAAACCTGCAAGTGAGCCCGTGCCATGGCCCGGGTGGGTTTCTGCAGCGCTCACCATCCCGGCAGGGCAGCTGAAACATGTCCAGCGCTGCAAGGACACAACCGAGAGGGACAAAGGCGCCTCCCAATCTGGCCTTCAGGGGCAGCAGAAAACAGCCAGGACCCAAAAAAAAGGGGAGCACAGCCAGGACACAAGGGAAGAGATAACATGGGGCAGGGGACCGCGGGAGCCAGGCAGCCGCCGCTGCTCCGATGATATGTGCCCATCGCCTCCTTTTCTTTCTGCCCCCTCCCGCCCCTGCGGGGCCTGTTCCCCACGGCCGGGCTGATCCTTCCCCACCTCCAAAAATGCTGCAAAGCTCATTTGTAAAAGGAAAACAAAAAAGTTTATTTTTTCTCACAAGAAGCACATAAAATATACAGTACATTTTTACAAACAAAAGTAAAAAAAAGTGCATTATGCATCCCCTACCGCGAACGTACAGTACAAAAGATACTGCATATTTAAATATAAAACCAGAATTAAGAAATACCATGAAATAAAAGGAACGTTGTTATCATGGAGTACAGCAATGCACTGGAACGGCTACACGTTACTCACCCACCCCTCCTCTCTGGGTCCGCGGTCACGGTCTAACCAGGTCGGGAGCCGGCTCCCCGGCAGAGAGCGGGCGATGCCTGCAAGGGCAAGGCGGGACACGACCGAGCCAACCACCACCTTCACGGAAAGGACAACCAGGAGGACGGCTATTGCTATCACACAGACCGACAAAGCCTGGACTGGAAATAAGGTGCCAGTTTTGTGCATTTCGGGTTTTCTGGCAGAACGGGACTGGGTTTGGATTCACACCCGGCAATCCGCTGAGCAGAGAGCGGCCGGCCGGCGATGGGACGTCTCCCCGGACACCCCCCACCCCGTCGGCGTTTCTGCAGCAATGCATAGATAAATGGGGGCACTGGGAGCTGCAGCCAGCATGGCGGCGTCTCAAGGCAGCCCTTTGGTTTTGCCATATACAGAGCAGAAGGGAAGTGGTTAGCAGCGCTGAGCTCAGCGGGGCCGGGAGGGCGATATGCAGAAGTAGTAACGGTCTGACTGCCACCGGAAACACCAAAAGCACCAAAAAAACCGAACAGCAAACAGCAGAGTTTAACAGCTCAGCACAAATACACAGTATTTGTAAACTATTATTAAGGCACTCAATTGTAAAAGAACAATTACAATACGTGGGAGAGGACAAACACATCTACCTTCTCATGCAACAAATCTAATGAAGTCTGCAAGCATCATAGGTTTGGCTACAAAAACCTTCGAAATGGCACACTAGTGCTTCTAGCGCACGTTGGCTTCAAGACCGACTCCCACGAAACCGTGCCTCTATCCCGACAGCGTCGCGACGACGCAGCGGCAGAGCCCCGAGCCCCGATGAGTGAAGCGGTGGGGTTGGTCCAGCGAGAGCAGAGTCCAAGCGACAGGCAGGAGGAAGGCGGTCAGCGCCGAGCTACGCCCCGGGAAAGCAGTGGTTTGTACGCAGCAGAACTTGGCAGGCACTCAAGAAAACAGGAAGGAAATATACATGTTCGCTTGCATCAGTTAACGGAATTTTTCTGAATTTGTTCAAATCCGACCCCCCCCCCTTCTTCCCTTGGCAGGGCAGCAATGGGAAGCGTCTGCAGCGCTGAGAAAGATGCCGGTGTAAAACACAGCGGAGAAAAATAACCGCGCAAATGGCCTTTGCAAGCTGAGGCTGAGGATCAAACCGTGCTGGGATCAAGCCTGGGCGCAGTGCTGCGAGCGGCAGAGGTTCGCCGGGCAGGAGGCACAAAGGCCCTCCCAGGCGGCTGCTCCGAGCCCTGCAGGCATCCAACAGCCCCGGGGCCTCCTGTGTGCCCCCGCTGCCTGCCCCCTTTCATAAATCAGAACCTGGGTGTACACAAGGATAGTAAAGATGACACAAATATAGGAAACTTATTGCAGATCTGGACTTGCACATGCACCCATGGTATGCCGACATCGGGCAGAGGGTATTTCAGTCCTACTCTGAACATGACCCAGCGTTTTCTCAGCCCTAAAAAGCAAAAGCTTGTGCACATTTTCCAGGGTCCCCTCACGCAGCAGCTTTTGCTTCAAACCAGCTTTCATGGGTGAAACAGGAAGCGTGCCTTAAGCTAAAAATGTACATCAAGTTTAAGACTCTTTAAGAAGGGACATTTATTTACTGATGGCCAGTGTCTCTAATTCCTCACACTGTTAATATAAAAATGTGGGGTCTTACGCTTAAGGGAAAAAAGGTAACCTCTGGGCATTTAAGACAGTAAAACACGTGGCTCCCTTTCTCAAGACAGTGGATGTTTGATGAATACAGACTCTGAGAACGATTGCTTGCAGCCCTGCTCTCTCCCCCACCTCAAGGAGGGGATTTTTAAGAATGGCTTTCGATGGAGATCTTAAAACGTGGGAGAGCTCGCGCTCACAGCCTGGTTGCTAAATGAGCAAATCCATCCGTTTGCCATCACTGACCTCTGAGGTCTGTTTTGGCCCCCGAGGTCTGTTTTGCACCCCAAGCCTGCTTCAAAATATCACCCCGAAGGCACAAGCAGCCAGCACGGTTTCAGATGGGACTCGGAGAGCACCAAGGTGTGGAGCATGTCCCCTACACGCTTCTCAAGCTCTTCCCTCCTGACTTGGCCAGCGCATCTCGCACAGAGCAGTTCTTGACCTGGCTGGCTGCCCAAAATATTCTAAGAAAACGTGCATTTCATATAGCATCGGTGAACTGCTGCGTTTCAAGCATCTCCCACAAGCAGGGCAGCAAGAGGAGGAGCGCACGCTAACACTGGTCTGAGACCAGTCCCCGAGAGCCAGCCCCTGGCGTGGGAAGGACGCGCTTCCTCAGCTACGACTGCTGCAGAGCGTGCAGCACCATGGGCGCCTCGCTGAGGGAGAGCACGGGCAGCCCCCGGTTTCCTCCCTGCAGGTCGTGCCAGCTTTTCTCCGAAAGGATCTCACCCACACCTTCAATATCCCTCTCTCTTTGGAGTGAGCCCGTATTTCTGTTTGACTTTTTTACCTACTCTCCCTGAACGCTGCCCCCCCCCCTCCCCCCCCCCCCAAGAGCAGGATGTACGCCTCTGTCACCCCTGGCAGGAGGCTGGTGCGGGCCTCCAAGAGCTGGGACACGTACGCCCCGGCTCCCCGCTCTGGGGCCACCCAGCCTCCTGACACCCAGCATAAATAACCCCTTGGACTTTGCCAACAGTTTCCCAGGCTGCCGGCAAACCAAGGATGCAGGAACCGTTCTACCAAAGCCAACAGCAATAATCAGAAAAAGACACACGTTCACCTATTGCCTACTGGGATTTCAAACGCGTGGGACACCAGGAGAGCCGTCCCTCCTCAGCCATCTCGCCGGCGCGGTGTGCCACCAACAGCCCGATGAAGAAGGGTCCCCAACACAGGATCTACGACACCGACACAGCATCACACAAAGCTTCACTAGGGTCCACGGTCACTTACTGGCCAGGCTCATCATTAGTACTGGGACATTACAAACCACGACGACAGCAAGAACACCCAAAGAACAAGACGCCTCTTCACGGGAGCGTAAGCCTGCGACAACGACACAGTCTGGGTGTCGCTCCGGCACCCACAGGAGACTATGACATTTCACCCGGTCACACAGTGAAGACGGACTAACACCAGCAGGTCACACAGTCAACACGAACACAGCTCGATACTCCTTCACTTCACAGCTGGTCACTCGGTGCAGTAAAGCCTCTGTCTCCATACTCCTCCAGGCCTTTACGGTTAACATTAAGGGAATACCTTCAAACAATGGTAAGTATTGTGGGAAAAGCCTTTTTAAAAAAAAAAAACCAAACAATAAACCAAAGACTAAAAGTCAGCGAGAACAGAGGTAGTGTTCATGTCACCATTTTAAGGATTTTTCCACAAGTGCCCTGTTTTAACTAGAGACTTTTGTTTGTTCTGTAAAAAAAAAAAAGTCATGACTAATTATTTTGTTGAGTCTTTGAAACAGAGTATTTCAGCATTTTTTATATATAGATAGATAGATAAATAGATACAAATATCTATCTATATATACACACACACAAAACCACAATTATTATACTTGGCAAACAGTACTAGAAACAGCATCCTGCAGGACAACAGGCAATTCACACACAAAGTCCTCTTCTAAGCCATGCAATACATTTTATTTTCCCTTGTGCCATTCTTCATGACCCATTATGTTTTTTTTCTCCCCACTTAGAGTACAAGGAGGGGAAGAAGAGGTGGCATCAGATGAACTACTGCAAGTCAGATGATAAAACTGCATCGGTGCAATGAATAAATGCCATAAAACCCACAAAATCCCCCCCCCCCTCCCCCCATAGAAGGCATCAACTTTTGCCCATCCAAAGCGTGTTCTTCAAGTTTCCGACCGCTGGCTTCGCTGCCAGTTTGGAGGTGACGTCTGCACTCCTCAGCGTGGATTGTGGCTCACAGAGCACGGAAGACTCGCTTGAAACGGCCTCTTTTGAGTCCGTTATGGTTGACACATCCATGTCACTTGATAAGTCCTCAGAGGACAAGTTAAGACATCCTAGCTTGGCGAGAGAATTGGACCTTTTCAGAGGAGAAGACACAGTCAAGCCAGCCAGCCGCAGCCGGGTCTCAATTTCCTGAGTTCGTTGCTTCACCAGGCCGGGCTTGCCCCGCACGCTGTGGATACTGTCGCTGCTGGAGCTACGCGTCAGGTTGGAGCTCCGGGAGGAGGAGGGAGTGTAGCAGATGGTCTTCAGGAAGTCCTTGGTGAAACTGCTCGTGTGCTCCAACCGACACACGACAGGAGTGGAGGTTTTCTGAGAGACCCCCTCCAAGACGCGTTTCACCTCTAACTTCTCCACATCGTTTTCTGCATCTTCAGGTATCAGCGGTGGCGGTCCCAGAAGAGGTACGAGGCCGTGATGTGAAATCAAAGCCTCGCTTTCCTCCACAATGCCGGAGTCGACTCTGCTCAGGGGGCTCTCTCTGAGCAGTGACGAGGCGTCCGAGGGCAGGCTTTTCAACCGCTCCAGCTCTTTGGTATGTTTCCTAACCAAGCCTGCTTTCTGCAGCTGAATAAGAGACTCCTGATGCTGCATCAAGTAACTGTTTGCACTTGGCTTTTCCAAGTCTTTGCTGAACAACAAGTACTTCAGATCCTTGGTAGGTTTGCTATCTTTTCTGGCTAGAGACTCTTCTTTTACCACTTCTGTGTTAAGGAGGCTCTTGTCACAATGCGAGTTTCTCCTGGGCAGCAGAGTTTTGACCGGGGTTTTTGGTGCATCTTTTCCTTTCTCCAAAATGCTGCAGTGTTGGTCAAGTGATTTGCAAGTGCCAGCCTCCAAAGTACCAGCTCCTGCCGACAGAGGAAGCGGAGCCTCATTATTTTTAGTTCTGATTGCTTCCTCTGAGTGTGCCTTGCTGGGCAGGTGGTCCGCCAAGTTGGAATTGATGTGGGAGAGGAGGGCTGGTTGCGTGCAGATGGTGGTGCTGTGATGCACAGTGCCAGGGTTCAACTTTTCGCACTGCTCCCCAAAGGAGTCAGGAGACAAACTGGCCGAGGAATACATACAGTCAGTGCAAGACTGATAGGAAGGCTTGACCTTACTGAGGATCCCAAATACGGCATCATGCTGCAAAAAAGAAAACAGGTACAGATAAATGTGCACAGAAGAGGACATCAGCAATCAGCAGAGCGAGAGGCACAGACCACAAGATACATTTACAGCCAAGCAGATTTGAAACGAAGCCCACTTCCACTTCTCTTAAGGCCCTGCAGCAGGAACAAAAGCCACGTACTTTCTCAGCAGACAGTATCTTCAATGGAAGAATACCTACCGTTTCAAGCGATGGTCATGCAAGCAAGTTGCCCAAAGCAGTTTATAGGGCACTCACATGTGTGCGCTCCCTCTCTGGCATCTAAATCCATAGCTTGGGCAAGCAAAGCCATGTTCAGAAGCACTTCGAAAAGGAAGAAGCTCATCATGGAATGAAAGGCTTTATCCAAGTCAAATGAAACTGTGCTATGAAGATGAGAAGAGCAGTTTCACTTGCAGTAGAGTCAGCCATGCTAATCACCTACGTTTAAACTCCATACGCACCTCAAAATCCTCTGGGCAACTCCTTTTGCTGTTGTTGTTATTCAAGTTCTCTCTATTAAGCCTGCTCTCCTCCTTGTGCATGGACAAACGCCGCTTCCACTTCTCCATCGGATTTTCCTCCCTGACACCGTCCTCCCCTGGGTCCCCAGGGCCCAGCACTATCCTTCCCTTCCGGGGGCTGAAGTCAAGTTTCTTCTTCACCTCCTTCTCGGTGAAACTGCTCAGCTCCACCAGCGGCTCCGCTGCCTCCAGGGCTTTCACCGTCTCCAGCAGCCTCCCCTCCGAAGATGCAGACGGAGGCTGTCCCACCAGCGATGCAGTGCGCTCCGCAAGTGCATCCCGCTCCAGCTCCTCCAGTTGGAAAAAGCCCTCCCTGTCACCAGGGATCTTGTTCTCCAGAAGCGTGTCCGAGAGGCGATGGAAGCAGTAATTAAACCCCACAGACACTTCTGTGCCGGCGCGGTTGTCCAGGAACGCTGACTGCGAAGGCGTGTCCAGGTCAGCCAGGCGGTTTTCTAGGTCGATGTCTAAGCTCTCGAGTAAGAAGTCGCCCGACCCCGTGGTGCCGTCTGTGTTCTGGGGTAGGTTGCTCTCTGCCTGCTGCTTCCACAGCTTATTGTGGCGCTGCTTGCTGGGGGAAAGGACAAAGACACAAGTGACTACTCTTGAACGGTAGGATGCTCAGTTCCAGGAAGGTCCCTCCCTCTCCACCACCCAGAACCGAAAGGCTGACTGCTGGGTCCAGCCCTGCAGTCCCACTTGGACAAAACCGTATCTAGCATCAGGATTTTGTCCCTCCTGCCTGCCCACTCCAGAGTCTCTTTGGCCCAGCAGACTCACAGCAGTGCCCTGCACCACACCCATGATGGGAACAGCCCTTGGGAGGAGTCCCTCAGGGCAGAGGGGCGCAGGGCCCTTTGTCAGAGCAAAACACTCTGAACCAACATCTCTGCACATCTCACGGCACA